GTGGGGCCACAATTCAATCCATTGTAGGACCCTGTAGGACAGTAATGAGAGTAAGACTTACTGTGTATCCTTTTGATTCCTTTTGAATTTTCAACTTTGTGCATGAATACTATTTAAAAGAAATTTAGTTTAAAATGACTGCTAAGAACAAATGAAAAACCTAATGTATCTTAAGAATTTTATATGTTCAGAAACTTTGAGGCATCACATCTCTTTGTTTCTATTAAACCACAAAATGTGGAACATTAGCACCACCTGAGAAAGCGCACTGATCCAGTAAATTTGGATTCTAAGCCTGACCATCCCCCTTATCCTGCTCAGGCCTTAATCTCCTTAGCTGTAAAATAAGAAGTGTGAACAAGATGCTTTCCAGCTTGAAAAACCAATAATTCCAAAATAGTTATGAGCAAAACACTTTTAAAAACATTAAATACCTAAAGCTAAATGGGCTCATGTAGAGAACAGCCATCTTGAATTTGAGTGAGCAAAAGGCGCACGTCCATTCTGAATGTTACCAGTTGGTGGCAGCATGTTGAAACTGCATTGAAAGTTACTAAGAACAGTCAATTAAGCCTTGTGCAAAAACAGAATATACCCTCCAAGGTATTTCCCCATATATTAAAAATAATAATAAAAAAACCAAACCCACTGCTGTTGAGTTGATTCTAACTCATAGCAACCCCCATTTGCATTTCTGAGGCAGTAAATCATTACAGAAGTAGATTGTCCCATCTTCCTTTCCACAGAGTGGCTAGTGAATTTGAACCACCAACCTTCAGGTTAGCAGTCAAATGCCCTAGCCCTGTGCCACCAGAGCTTGAGGTGTCAAAGTCAAATACAGGGTTAATTCAAGACTATTGAATTACTTCAAAGAATCTTTTGTTACTGACCTGTGGAAGTCTATCAAGCATAGGTCCTTCAGAATTTGCTAGATTCTTGGATTGGATTATTTATAACAGAGATTGACAAACTTTTTCTGTGAAGGACCAGATAATAAAAATTTCATGCTTGAGGGCCATCTGGGTCCCTGGGTAGCCCAACCAGTTTGCACTGGACTGCTAACCTAAAGGTTGGTGGATTGAACCCACCCAATGGTTAAAAGAAAGGCCTAGTCATTTACTTCCATAAAGATTACAGCCAAGAGAACCCTATGGGATGGTTCTCTGTAACACGTGGAGTTATCGTAATTTGGAATTGACTCTACAGCAGCAGATTTTTTGGTGGGCCATGTTGTCTATTGCAACTACTCAAATCAGTTATAGTGGAAAAGTAGCTGTAGACTATGTAAAGGTATGGGCATGGCTGTGTCGCAGTGAAATTTATTTACAAAAACATGCACTGATTTGGCCCATGGGTCATAGTTTGCTGACCCCTGAATTATAGTAAGTTCCTGCCCTAAGTTTCTCCTTGGTGCTTCCCCTTAGATAATGTACATGACTGCTACTTCTCTAATTCCTAAGTATGGGAATAACTGCTTTCATGCCACAATTTTTTACTTTCAATCATTCCTTTGTTGTTGTTGTTAAGTGCCGTCGAGTCGTTTCCGACCCATAGCGACCCCATGCACAGCAGAACGAAACACTGCCCGATCCCGCGCCAGCCCCACAATCCCTGCTATACTTGAGCCCATCATC